CTTCAGGCTCTATCCTTTCGTTTTCTCCCTACCCCATCCCCCTCCCTGTTTTCTCTATATAAACCGATGTTTTCCCAGCTACCATCAGTTCTGAGGAAGGTCACCGGACCTGAAACGTTAACTCTGATTTTTTTCTTCACAGATGCTACCAGACCTGCTGAGCTTTTCCAGCAACTTCTGTTTCTGTTCCTAGCCAAATAAATATTGTGGCTATAAGAACAAGTCAATGGCTGGGAATTCTGCACCAGGTAATTCAGCTCCCAAAGACTGTCCAACATTACAAGACACCAATCAGGAGTGTGATGGAATTATCTCTACTTGCATGGCTGAGTACAGCTCCAACAACACTTGCAAAACTCAACATCAGCCAAGACACAGCAACTTGCTGGAGTGGCAATCTACCTTTGGCATTTGTTCCCTCCTCCACCAACACATTAGTCACAGCAGTATACACCATCTGCAAGTTGCCAATGCGGAAACTCACCAAGGCTCTTTAAACAGATTTTTTCTAACCCATAGTCTCTATAATCTGGAAGGACAAGGGCAATAATAGAAGCACCACTACCCGCAAGTTCCCTTCCATGCTACATATCATCCTGACTTGGAACTGTTCCTTCACTGTCATGTATAAATACTGGAACTCCCTTGCTAAAAGCTGGCCTAGACAGTGACTTTTTCATCTCCTAAAGAACTAATTTTAAAAAGACCTCATGAACCCTTGTTTCACTGTAGCAACATTTCCCTACTTAATTCCTCTTGCAATAACCTCCAACACTCCATCTTCGTCATTTGTTGTACCTGTATCCTAATTCAGTGATTCCTATACAAGGAATCCCAGATCTCTCTGTACCACAGAGTTCTGCAATTTGTCTCCACTTGCATAGCATACTGCTTTTCTATTCTTTCTGAAAAAGTGAATAAGTTCATATTTTCCTATAACTTCAACTCACAATTTTTTTGCTTGCTCGCTTAATCAGTTGGCACCTTACCTTCCTACTCATCTTTGTATTATCAACAAATTTATCTACCATGCAGTTTTCTTTTTGTCTACATCATTGATACAGATTGTTAATAGTTGAGGCCTCTAGCATTGATGCCTTTGGCACTCCACTTATTACAGCTTGCCAACTAGAAAATTACCTATTATTCTTTGTTCTCCCTGTTAGCTAACTAATCCTCTTTCCAAGCTAATATGTTAACCTGCAACTGTCTGAATTCTTATTTTGTGCAGTGATCTTTGATGTGGCACCTACACTACTGCTGCAGATTTTCCTTTATCCACATTGCTTGACACTCCCTCGGTAAACCTCTAACTTTTTGATTTTTGTTTCAATTCCATTCACTCAGCCTGATTGCATTATGATTTTCTGAATGTCCAGCTATTGTCTGCTTATTAATAAATCCTGGCAATTTCCCAATGACAGATGTTAGGCCAACTGACCAATGCTTATTGTCTCCTACTTTTCTGGAAGAGTAATGTTACATTTGCAAGATCGTATGTGCCCTTTTAATTTGTCTTGCCATCTTCTAAGATCTATGTACATATAAACCCCCACGTCACTGTATCTGTGTGTACTTTATTGAATTGTGTGCTGTTAAAGCTGCATTGCCTGCTGCACCTTATTCCTGCCAAAATATATCACCTCATGTTTTGTTGTATTAATTTTCGTCTCCACTTGTCTGCCCATTCTGCTAGCCTATCTATGACCTCAGGCAGGCTCATCCTCACTATCAGCCTGTTATGTCAAGACTCCTGGGCGAGGTTCCCCTAGTTGTGATTCCAGGCAGGATACAACAAATTGTCAAGTTGCCAGTAAAAGAGGGATGAAGTGGCTCCTTTTCTTTATTCATCCACTGTAGTATTCCAGCCTCTGACCTGCTCTTCTAGCTACATTCGTGCAGTTCAGTTTCCAGTCAGTGGTAATTGCCAAGATGTTGATAGTGGGGGATTCAGCAGTGGTAATTCCATTCAGTGTGAAGGGGCATGGTTAGATTCTCTCTTGTAGGAAATGATCATTGCATGACACTTTTGTGCACGCGTCACTTACCACTCATCAGCCCATGCCTGGATCTTGTCCATGTCTCTCTATAAATGGACATAGACTGATTCAGTATCTAAGGAGCTGCAAGTGGTGCTGAATATTACGTAATGATTTGCGAACATTCCCACTGCTGCTGACCTTATGATAGAGAATAAGTTATTGATGAAGCAGCTGACTGTAGTTAGGCCTAGAGCCACTACCCTGAGGAACTCCTGCAAAGATATCCTTGAACTGAACTGACTCCGACTTCAGCAACAACTATCTGCCTTTGTGCTAGGTATGACTTCAAATCCTCTGACTCCTTGATAGTCTTAAGTAATTATGTTTAACTATGTAAATTGTACCGGTTGCTATCTTGTAAAAAATTGCCTCTTGGCCTATAAGTATCACTGATAACTACGTAGACCTTAGACTTAGCATAGAAAAAAGGAATTAAGGACCCTTCTAGTGCATCTAGTCCCTACTCTGAGACAGGAGACCTGGGTTCAAGTCCTGCCTGCTCTAGAGGTATATAATAATATCTCTGAAAAGGTTGATAATTAGTAGGGGGGCTTTTGTGGCACAGTATTGATGTCCCTACCTCTGAGCCAGGAGGCCTGGTTCAAGTCCTACCTGCTTCAGAGGTGTTTATAACATCTCTGAAGAGGTTGATTAAAAAAAATCTAAAAGGAAAGAAGGATTAATGGCTCAAATGGTGCTATGGTAATGTCCCTATTTCTGGACCAGGAGGGCCCAGGTTCAAATTCCACCTGCTCCAGAGGCGTGTCATAATACATTTGACAGGTTGTTTAAAAATACCTGCAAAAGAAATTGATGGTTAGATGATAACAGAGTGGTACAGTCCCTGCCTCTGAATCAGGAGGCCTTGGTTCAAGTCCTTCCTACACCATACGTGTGTCATAACATATCTGAACAGGTTGAGTAAAATTATAAAGATGTTATTTTGGGCTCTTGTGGCCTGGGTACAAGTCCCACTTGCTCCAGAGGTGTGTGTTATAAAACATCTGAAACAGTTTATCTTTTTTAAAGAAAGGCAAAAGATGTGGAGGTCAACTTGAATAGGGCAAAATTCCACAAACAGCAATCCAGTGACGGTTAAATAATTCTGATGTGGCATAGTGGTGGAAATGTGGGGTTTGAAATGCTGCAGGTTTAATTTCAACTTGTTTGATGTCAGTTCAATTCCAACCCTCAGTGTTGTCTGTTTAAGAGGGCTCTTGTGGCTCAGTGGTCATGCCCCTAACTTTGAGCCAGGAGACCTAGGTGTGTAATAACATCTCTGAACAGTTTGATTAAAAAATATCGAGAAAGAAGGATTAATGGCAGCACTATACCTTCATTTCTCAGAGCCTAATACAATTATACAATAACCTTTCTGTGTGTGACTTGCCTCCAATTCCCCATTGCCTGTGGTTTTGCTAGGGCTGCTTGATACCACATTCGATTAGTGCTGCCTTGGTGTCAAATACAATCGCTATCACCTCACCTTTGGAATTCAGTCATTTTCCGTGTTTGGACCAAGTCTATAATGAAGTCAGGAACTGAGTGACCATGGTGGAACCCAAACTGAATGTCACTGAGCAAGTTATTGCTAAGCAGGGTAGAAATGTCAATTATTAGGGGTAATAGATTTAAGGTAAAAGGATTGGAATTTAAAGGAGATGTGCGATGCATGTCTTTTTTAAACACAGAAGATGGTAAGTGACTCGAATGTGCTGCAAGAGGAGGTGGTAGAAGCAGGTACAGTAGCAACGTTTAAGAGACATCTTGGCAAATACACGAATAGGTGGGAATAAGGGGTATGGACCAGAGAAAGTCAAAAGAATTTTAATTTAGAAAAGATGTCGTGTGTCAACACAGTCTGGGTGGGTCGAAGGGCCTGTCACTGTTCCTGTGCTGTTCAAGTGCTACTTGATAACACTTTCAATGACCTCTTCCATTAGCTTGACTGAGAATAGACAAATTGGCTCAGTTGGATTTGTCCTTTTTATGTAGAGGACATACCTGTACAGTTTTTCACATTGTTAGCTATGTGCCAGTGTTGCAGCTGTTCTGGAACAGTTTGGCTGAGTGCAACATGTTCTGAATTTCTGATCCTCGGGACTGTTGCTGGAATATTATCTAGCACATTAGCCATTTCTTGATAATCAAGTGAAGTGTATTGAATAGATCAAAGTCTGGCATCCGTGATGCTGGAATCCTCCAGAGGAGACTCATCCACTCGGCACTTCTGCATGAGTTTATTATAAATGCTTTGGCCGTATCTTTTGCACTGATGTGCAGGCCTTTCTATCATTGAGGATGGAGTTATTATTGAATCTTCTCCTCCAGTAGTTGTTTAATTTTCCACCACCATTCACATCTGAATATTGTCGGACATCATCGATTGTGTAATCGCTTTGCCCTGTCTATCATTTGCTGCTTATGTTGCTTGAGACACAATTCGTCCTATGTTATAGCTTCACTGGGGTTGAGACCATTTCCTCATGCTGCTCCTGCACTCTTCATTGAACCAAAGTTGATCCCCTATCTTGATAGTAATGGTTGAGTGGGAGATATGTCAGGCTATGAGTTTGCAGATTGTATTTATGTATAGTTTTGCAGCTGTTGATGGCCCACAGCACTTTGTGGATGCCCAGTCTTGAGTTACTAAATCTGTTCGAAGTCTGTCCCAATTTAGATAGTGTTAGTACCTTCCTATTCCATTATCAGTTTGATCTTGAAGTAATATTAAGAGCAAAATATTTTAAAACCCCAACATGCATAAATGCCAAAGTCTGCCACACTTAAGCGAATTCTGGCCTGTAGATGATGCATTTCCTGATATGGCCAAAATTTTTCTTTTTTTGCTTTTTGCATTTTTGGATATTCATCTGTTAAAATTTCAGCAAAAGGACCTGAATGGAGATTATTTTTGTTGAGGATTCTAATTAATACAAATATGACAGATTTATTTGTAGTGTAATTTACATTTTTCTTCAAGGAGAACAAAGTTCGACAGATCAGGCAGTTCCATTTTCATGGCTGGCCTGAGGTGGGAATTCCTGCTGATGGGAAAGGGATGATCAACCTGATTGCAGCAGTTCAGAAACAGCAGCAGCAGTCAGGAAACCACCCAATCACAGTGCATTGCAGGTAAGCCACAAACTGCTCAACAGTGTGGTACAGGCAATATTTTTCAGTCAAATAACGAGAGACTTTGTGACTATACTGAGAATTCTAAGTGTGTGCCTGAATACCAAAACACAAGATTTTGCCCTGTTTGAGTTTATGTTGCTTAATATAATGCAGCAACATTATTGCTTCTGCCTGAAACACACCAATTCTAATTTTGACATATTTGAGATGACTGGGAGGAGAAAGACACAAATGATCAATTAGAGAGTTCTTTCCACTTTCAAATTCAATATATTTTAGTTTGGAGTTTTTAAGGAAATAAAGCTGTTTTACCTTGAAAGCTAGGGGGGAGGAAAACTGATGCAGGGTGGGAATAGCTGCTTCTGCCCTGAGGGTGAGGAAGTGAACTTATTGAATAGAGGATTAAAGTTGTGAAGGGAACAAGTTCCATAAAGAAATCAAACGCCAAAAGGGTTTTTTGGCGATGATAGACATGAGGTAATAGGTAATGGGCACAAGTGAATGGAGAAAAGAATGAGAAGAGATCTGCTTAGGGCATAATTGTCTTTGCACCACTGCCTCACATGCAACCTACAGCCATTGTTGTGTCACTAACCAAATCTAACCTGAGTGGAACGAAAGAATCAAAGAATCCATACAATGCGGAAAGAGGCCACTCAACCCATCGGGTAAAGTGACAGAAAAGTGAAAGAGGATAAAGAGTAAAGTATGCAAAATGTAAGAGGAGAGAACTAGAGAAGACAAACAAAACACATAAGTAAGACCAGAAGTTACAAATAGAAGAAGACATCATTTCTAATTTATTCAGCATGAAGATGCAGGGAAAGTCAAGAGTGTAGCCTTCTCTTCAGTAGGATTAGAGTGCAGAGACAACTAAACCAGAGCTTGCACAGTAATTTAAAGTTTTAAAGTCATATATTGTTTTCCTTATTTTTATATTTCTGTTGTGTCTTTCCAAGTCTGCTTTTATCATACTGACATGTACTTACAGTGCTGGTGCTGGAAGGACAGGTACATTCTGTGCCCTGAGTACTGTCTTGGAAAGAGTAAAAGCTGAGGGCATCTTGGATGTGTTTCAGACGGTAAAGAGTCTACGGTTACAGAGGCCCCACATGGTCCAGACACTGGTGAGTACCATGAACAGATATTTTCGGTGCTGCTTGGCTCAAACTGAGACACTGAAAGCACATTGAAGACATTTTAATACCAAAGTGTTCTAAACTGCAGAAATTATCAGCTTAAATTTTGGTACTTATGTAATCACCCTTTATTAGTGGCTGTTTATTGGTGGCATAAGATCTGCCAGTTTTGTTAGTACCTTCCGAATGCTTCAGTGTTCATAATCATGAGAGACCAATTGCTAATGAGCAGTTAAAGAACAACATAGACTTATACACCTCTGCTTCATTATATGGCAAATGTTATTGCAAATTCAAAGCTGAACTTGATTGCAATGGGCTAGTACATCTATCTGGAGGTCAAATTAAATTGAAATGCGCACAAGTCCAGTGTACTTTTGAAGGTTTTTATTGCTGTTGCCCCTCAGGCATTGTGCTGTAGCAATATTTCGAACAATTAAATTGTAGAATTTAAGTTAATGTAAGAAACTTCTCAAATGTGAGTGATGAAAGATTACTTCCAAGACATAATTTTAGCAATCCCTCAGTGGCAGGACTCAAGTCAAAGGGATTGGTACACTCCTACTGTAGCTGCATTCTATGGGGGTATAATCAGTTCATTTGGCTGGATGGTTGGTTTGCAATGTGGAATGATGACAACAGCAAGGGGTCAGTCCTTGCAATGGCTGATGTCACCATGAAGACCTGGCCATATCAATCTTGCCTTTGCCTTTACCTGAGGCATGGTGACCCTTGAATTTAATTCAATCTCAGCTCGCTCTCTCTGTCTCTCTCTCTGTATCTATTGAGACTGTGGCAACTTTTACTTTTTCACATGACTGCTATGGAAGTTTTTCAGTGGCTCAGCTGCCCATCAAACGGAGACAAGGCAACAAACTTGAATACAATTTTCCCAGACACTTCGTTAGTTTGCATTTTTTCAATTGTAGAGGAATCCCATACTGCTTGGGGAGACCGCAAGCTGCATGGAGGCAGCTTCTTAAGGGTCCATCTGAGGCAAAAGGTTTTTGACAAGAGTGGTGGACTATTCAGTGGAGACTTGGGCCACTTAAATAGAACAATGCCCATAATACTCAGCCTTCCAAGATTACTTCAATTTTGAACTTCCCTCGCATTCTCCTTGATGCCTCGATGCCCACCACTCTGTTGGGTCACTGTGATTCTGCAGTTTCCAGCCCTATCGGTTGACTGGCAGATCAGAAGAACCTGTCATTTTCAGTTGATGTTACACTCCTGCTCCTAACAATGTTATAAAAGAAGTCCTGAGTTGCCACTGGCTAGACCAGTAAACCTGAAACCACCCAAAGGAACCTTCACTGTTTCGGCAAAATCTTGCTTATGTCTTTGTAGGTCTCCCAGAAATATCCCAAAGCAATTCCCGTACAATTAAAGTGCAGTGACTGTTATTAAGTGAATGGGGCAACTATTTTGTTCGTAGCAGTTGAAAGGGTGTTTTAAGCAAAATTTGTCAAAACATCTTGCCTTATCTTCAAGTCATGCTACAGGGTCTTTAATGTTTAGCAGAAACTCTACATCAAACAAACAATATCCTGCTTTAATCTGTCATCTGAAGAGCACTCCTATAATAATTATGAATTCCACCAGTACTGTGTGAATAATGTGGTTTCTGTAAGGTGCCTAAAACTGCACACGATGCTCTGTGGCTTTATACAAATCTGTTGATTACTGTATGTTCCTCTAGCCTATGTTAGTATTTTCAAAATATTACTTTATCTTACCTGCTTCAAACTTTCAAAGAATTATGCATTTAAACCCTTGATTTATAGCTCACGTGAAACCCTTCAGTGCCTTTCCATTGATTGTTTGTCCACACTTCTTCCAAGATACATTTTGTCACTCTTCTCTACCTTTTATTTGTGCCTTGTCTATTCTATCCAGTTCTAACTCTGTCCATGTCCTGCTTAGGTATTTTACTGTGCTCTATCATTTGCTCCTACTTCTGTCTTTATGTAATTTTGATATATTTCTCCTTTATGTCCAAACTAAATTATCTGCCTACTTAGAGAATAAAAATAGATCCACACTTGATTGTACATTAGTTACAATCCTTTACCAATCGAAGGAGCACTTAGGAATTCTGATACTATGTTCTTTGTTGTTCAACCAGTTCTCAATCCATACTTGTTAACTTCCGCTTTTAGACTATTCCTAAATTTATGTAGTAAGCCTTGTGTGACTTATTCTTAAGAAATCATCATCTTCCTCCAATCTTTCATGTTTTGAAAAAAACTCTTTCTGAACTATCCATTTATTGTAATTGAAAGCTCTTAACTTTCATTATCCCAAACAAGGCAATAGGAATTATGCACAAAGGCCGATTGAGGCTTCTTTTTGGACAAATCATGCTTTTTTCTGCCCATCTTTGTTAGTGGGGAAGCACATACCGTCTACTTACTCTCTTGCTGTGTCAACAGAGCTGAGAATTTAACAGAATGTGTCACAGACAGGAGGCAGAGATGAATTATTTTATGGTGATCCTCTTCTCTCTGTAAAAGATGTGATTTTCAATGTTTTTATTTAGATTTTTCCTTTCAAAATACGCCACAATATGTTCCCCTAATCCTTCTGTTCATGAAACCCAATGTTTAAATGATCTGTAGCAAACTCTCTGTAACGTTAAAACAAAAGATTGATATATTCAACCATTCAGTCCTGAGGGATATGTTTTACACGCACACAGAGTGTTGACAATGCGGCAATATCATTCTTGAAGACGGGAAATTCGTCACCTTTCAGATGAAATTAGTTCGGAACTAGAGTCAGGCTTTAGCTCAGCCTGGTGCTGCTTGCTGTCTGTTCTGACGTTAACAGCAGCCTCAGAAGAGAGTTCAGACCTGTTACAATTAAAACTCTTCAAAAAGGCAAAAAATTTCAGTCATGTGACAGAATTCCTGGGTGGACATGAGACAACAAGGTGCAGGGCTGGATGAACACAGCAGGCCAAGCAGCATCATAGGAGCAGAGAGGCTGACGTTTCGGGCCTAGACCCTTCATCAGAAAAGGGGGAGGGGAAGGGGGTTTTGAAATAAATAGGGAGAGAGTGGGAGGCGGATAGAAGAGGGATAGAGGAGAGGATAGGTGGAGAGGAAACAAACAGGTCGAAGAGGCGGGGATGGGGCCAGGAAAGGTGAGTGTAGGTAGGGAGTTAGGAAGGGGATAGGTCAGTCCAGGGAGGACGGACAGGTCAAGGGGGCGGGATGAGGTTGGTCGGTAGGAGATGGAGGTGCGGCTTGGGGTGGGAGGAGGGGATAGGTGGGAGGAAGAACAGGTTAGGGAGGCAGGGACGAGTTGGACTGGTTTTGGGATGCGGTGGGGGGAGGGGAGATTTTGAAACTTGTGAAATCCACATTGATACCATTGGGTTGCAGGGTTCCCAAGCGGAATATGAGTTGCTGTTCCTGCAACCTTCGGGTGGCATCGTTGTGGCACTGCAGGAGGCCCAGGATGGACATGTCGTCTGAGGAATGGGAGGGGGAGTTGAAATGGTTCGCGACTGGGAGGTGCAGTTGTTTGTTGCGAACCGAGCGTAGGTGTTCTGCAAAGCGGTCCCCGAGTCTCCGCTTGGTTTCCCCGATGT